CACACACACACACACACACACACACACACACACACACACACACACACTGTTTGTAAACCCCAAAGTGAAAAAAAAGCTGACACCATGGTAGTGGTCGTGAGAAAAAAAAGGTGCCTCTGGTTTTTTCACCTTATTTTTTGTTTATTCAGTGGTTGTATAGCAGTGTGTTTTCTATAGGTCACGGGACAATAGTGAGGCCATGACCAGTGCACCTATTGTGATGGGGCTCACCAGGGGCACTTTGTCTTTGCCAACAGTGTGGAATGTCCCAGCGGGCTAACAGGGGCAGGAGAGGGCAGGCCAGAGGGCTGCAGTGCTCACCTCCTCTAAACTGGAACAGTCCCTCTAGCTCCGAGAAAAAAAGTTACATCCAGAAGAAGAAGGATGCAGAGATAGGACTTGGGGAAAGATGACAGGGGAAAGACCAGGCTGGTTGAAGTTGAATCAGATGCGCTCTGCTGGTGACGGAGGGCCTCGAAAGCGCCGTGATGAGCTCCCATTTGGGACCCTCTAGTGTAAATGTCTCAGGCAGAGTTGGAGGTCGTGGAAGTGAGGATGCCGTTGAAGAAAACGACAACGAGACTTGCACCCAGTGTTTAAAAACAGCGAGACCCAGGCCGAGGAGTGCAGATCCAGCCGGTGAGGGAAGGCCGAGCAGTGTGGAGCAGCTGGTGAGACCTGCCCTGCCAGGGAGGAAGGCACACAGAAAGACCTGCAGCAAGGACAGCAGAGGAAGATGGAGAGAGGGAAACCAAGACAGGGATGAGGAGAGACAACATGTTGAACACGTAGGAAGCAGGGAAAGAGGAAAACAAAGGCAGAGAAAGGCGGAAAGAACTGGCATACATGGAGATGGAGCCCAGGACAGACAGGGAACAGGAAGCACTGAAAGTTTGTCCAGCAGTAATTCTGACATCCCGTTCTACAACACTTTGGAAGTTGGAGAAGGATCAAACAACTTGCAGAGAGGATGCACATGTCCCAGACTTCCAAGTACTGGCTGCACCCAGACCATCACCACCAATTTAAACCTCCAATCCCCTCGGCCAGCAATGAGGTCCATGTCGTCTGCTCTCCCTCAGCCTCCCACCCAAACCAGATCCACACCTCTGTCCCCTCAGAGACTTTCATCCAGAACAGTGGCAGGAAACCTGCACCACCACCCATTTAGTTCATACAGAGTGGCAGATCCGTTCTGGATGGAGGTGAGAACAGGGGCAGCAACTGGACGATCATCACAAAGTCATCAGACACGCATCCCATCTCTCATCAGCTCAGAGCTAGGAGAAGAGGAGGAGGAGGAGGAGGAGGAGGAGGAAGAAGAAGGAGAGGAGGACTTGGATGATGGCGAGGAGGGAGGCAGTGGCGTGATGGAGGTGATCGGTCAAACCATAACCTCAGCAGTGGTGCCGCCCTATGTTCCCTTTGGGGAGAGGAGGATGAGTAAAAGAGAGAAGAACAGGATTAGGTGTCTGAGGAGGAGGCAGAGGAGAAGGGAGAGGTGGAGACAGAGTCAACTGCAGGAGAGCAGACAGGTGAATGACACAATTAACTCAGCATCAATATGTCAATGGCTCCTGAAGTCAACGTTCTTTTACCAAATGTTTGCCAGTTATTTTAGGATTAAAATCAGGCGACTGCTTTATATCATGTGTTGCAAGAAGAGTCACAGAGTTCGGGATTAAATCATTGAATGATTTATTTTTCTCTTCCTGTTTCCCAATCAATACTATGTTAATACAATACAAATAATTTGTTACCTATAAAACCAGTGTTTTATTTCTATGTGGCTAATTATCTACCACTATATGACAGTCACCAAATCAAACATTACTGTCATCATGTGCAGTCTTTCTTTCAGTTTTCATTAGCAGGATACTTGAGAAAACCGTAGGATACTCTTCAGCCGCTCAAGTCTCAAGGCACTTCAGCCTTAAATTACCTAACTGATCCACTTAAAAGTCCATTTACATTTTAGGGTGGAAGGCTAGTGCAAGAAATCAAGTAAGAGTTTGGTGTGTTTGTGTGTGTGGTACAATACAATAGGCAATCAGACTAAAACATTGCTTGTTGGGTCCACTTTTAACTGTACACTTTTTGTGCACTGTGTGTGGCCACACGTGTATTTGTGTGTCTGTGTGTGTTCATTTCAACTAGAGTCTGACTGTCGACAGCCCTATCAGCACTCGGCTCATCTCAAAAGCCATTGTCTATGCGGTTTAAAGTGGGGTTACATCTGAATTAGTTGCATGATGAGGCTTGGCTGGAGAGCCCTTCAAAAACAAGCAGACAAAAGAGCAGATTCAGTTTTGATTGGCTGCTGCAGATCTGCTGTCACGTTGGTGTACTGAAATTATTCTGACTGCTGAATTAGAGAAAGTGGAATAGAATTAGTTGCTTTGAAACACAGAATATCCATTCTCTAATTCAATGCCTCCCTGCTGATGGTGTTGTTTTTGGTTAAGCTATTCCTCTCTCTCTCTCACATTGGGGTTGCGGTGTTAATCTATGCATGATGTAGATACATAATACATGTGCTATCTGGCTCTAGCAGATAGTCTGTTATAATGTGGTCGATTATTTCTGCGGGAGATAACAGATGGCACATGCCATGAGGAAAATGCATGAAATGTTTTTAAATCTTTCCTAATTTGTCCCACAGTTATCAGGAGCCAAATGTTAGAAACTCAAAGTTCTGGCTGAGTCAGTCAGATGAGGAGATTGATGCCGCTTTCTTTTCCGAGAGCGAGTCAGCGTATTTGTCCCAACTTTACCCTTTTATTTAGTGGGAGGAAATTGAATAAGCTTGCTTGGTCATTTGTCATTATCAAGGCTTATTGAGTATGCATGCTCTTTCCTCAGTTTTATCCAACTTTGCACTTGTACAGTTACATTCCTTTTCACATGGGAGCTGATCACTACAAGCACAGCATTTATGCTATGAGTCATAGCCCTAGGGTTTTTAGGATACTTCTCAAGGGCAGCTTAACAATAGTTCTTCTCATTCACCCTCTCATATAATTATTATTTTTTTGGATCCGTTGGTCTCAAAGCCTGATTTATATTGTGGATATGTATTTATATGGATGTGGATTGTAATTTGCATATCCAAGTATGATGCTTTATTTCTTTTCCCCTGCATACATACCAGCATTTCTGGTGGAAATGGTTGTCTTAACTCCCCTGATAGAATCTAATGTAAATATGTCTGAGTACAATGTCCTGCTGTCCTTTTTGCATACAGTATAAAGAAGGGCAAAGGTCAGAGCGGGTGGTCATCCAGTTCCCCACAGGAAGTGGTTTCATCCTTGTGTGATTGAGAAACCATTAGTGCTGGATTGCTGTTACTTGATCCAGCTGCTGCACGGAAGCTGAAATGTGGTTTTAGTTGCTGCCTGTAGTTCTGCAGAGACATTTATTGGTGTAAGTATTACAATACTTTACACAAACCACATTTGTTTCAGGTTAGTGGTGCAGTAGATATCTTCGAAGTTAAGATGGTAAAAAGACGAGGTTTAGGCCTACTCTGTACAAATATATTTAGATTTACGTTTCCTATGATAAAGAATTGTATTTACTTTTTTACACATTTACCAATGCAATCAAGACAAAGGTGCCATGATAACGTGCAAGTTGCCAGAGGGGAGAGCCTCAGTACCCATGATAACTTGGGAGCTGAGCACTGTGTGTTGTCTACTCTGTGTTAATGACACACCTTAGGAAGCAGGACTGGTGCAACACGGAAATCCCTGGAGCTCCCCCTGTGTGAGAAAGCGGTAATTACTCTGTGTATACCGCCCCCTCCCCCTTGCCTTTTTTAAGACACAGGCTTCAGACACCAATCCTCTGGGTCTGACGACATAGGTCTGACATAGGTCTGACATAGGTCTTGAGGGGCCCCAGATACAGTTCTCAGAACAAGTTTTGGTACTCCCTCTGCTATGAGTTGCAGCTGGAATTTGGAAATGCTGAGTGTGGATTTAGGTGCCGATGCACTTGGGAGGGTGGGCAAGTTGACTGCTGAGGAGATGAGAGAGATTAGAGCGGGGGGTGTTAGATGACATGAGCTATATGAAATAAAAGGATGCAAACTAGATTTAAAAAGGTAAACTGAAGACAGGCCATCTGCAGCATAAACTATTTATTTAAATCTTAGAATCCGAATTGTGTCTTATGGAAAAAACTTTACCTGAAGAGATGCAACACCTCTGTTTTCTGAAACGTGAATGGAGTTTGAATTGGGGTCAGCTTCAGGGTTAAATAGCTCTCTTTAGCAAACAGTGTTTATGCTTTACAATATAAGAAGTGAGAAAATGTAGGTAGGTAGACGTTTCACTCTGTTGAGCTCGCACCTGACACCCTCATGTCCTCACACATATTATTATGCTGTGCAGGTGGGTGTCAAAGACATTTACACCCAATCAAATAGGGCGTATTATAGAGTATTTCATACACAATCTCAAGAGGAATGTGAAAGAGGACATTCTCAGTTGAATTTTTTGACAGCTGGTACGATGACATCTTATAGTGATAATGTATGCTCACAATCTAATATGTGGGAGGGGGGCAGATTTCTGAATTGGTGTCGTTCATTCTTTTACTTGATACTTAATCTGCGTGTCTGAGAAGCTCAATCCGTATAGACATGACCCTGTAGAAGTGGGTGATGATTTTAGAGGTAGAAGAAGAGATAAGCATTGCAATAATATTTTGAATATATTCATAAAAGTATTTTATCCATCCATTATATACAGTTTATCCAGGGCCGGGTCTTGGGGATAGCAGGCTTATCAGGATATTTTAGACGTCCCTCCTCCCAGCAACATTTTCCCGCTCTTCTGGGGGAGCCAGAGGCGCTCCCGGGACAGACCAGTTAAATAATCTCTTTTCCGTGCCCTGGGCCAACCGAGCCTGAAAGGGCTCCTTCTTTAGCTTGATGGCCTCCTTGGGCTCTTAGGCCAAGCACCGACGACCCTGACCCCAAATCCTAGCAGCCGCTTCTACAAAGGAGGCATTGAACATGGCCCAATTGGATTCCATGTCCCCAGCCTCCCCCGGGATGCATGAAAAATCATTTCGGAAAGGGGGAGTTGAAGAGGTGGGATAGGGGCCTGAGTCAGACGTTCCCAGTTCACCCACAATACATGTTTTGGTTTACCCGGTCTGTCCAATAGAAAAGCACCACTAAGGTTTAGATAAGGCAGGCCGTTCCCCCCAATCCACCCCGCCCCTCTTGTCCATGTGAGATTTGAAGTCCCCCAGCAGAACTATAGAGTCCCCAGTCTGCGCCGTTTCCTGGATGCCACTCAGAGACTCCAAAAAGGCCAGTTACTCCGAGTTGCTGTTTGTTGCATTAGCACAAAAAAACAGTAAGAGATTTCCTCTCAACGACTCACAGTCTCACAGAGGCAACCTTTTCTTTCTCCGGGGAGAGTTCCAACACAGCTACGCTGAGCTGGGGGCTCGTGAGTATCCCCACACCTGCTTGGGACCTCTCACCTCTGGCAACTTTGGAATAGGCTGGAGTCCCAAGAGGGAAGGGCTCCCCTCCCAGGTCTGGCCCGAGAAGGGGGCCCCCAGGGTCACTGAATCGCTCTAGGTCTGGCTCCTCACCTGGGACCTCTTTGCCTTAAAAAATACCCTTCCAGGAGTTTTTGCCCCTGACAACACAGCTCCCAGGATCACTGGGGCAAACAAACCCCTCCACCACGTTAAGGTGGTGATTCGTTGGAGGGGGTAAAAGTATTTTATTTTATACTTTTTTATACTAAATGTTTATTTTAGCGCTATTCTGATTTTAATCTCATCTAAAACTCACATAAGTCAACTCATACATATATACATTGATTTGCATGAGGAGGAGGTTTAAAAGAAAAGATGCACATGGGGCAAGTACATCTATCGATCTATCCATCTATCCATCTAGCTATCTTATCTCTCTCTGCCTTTCCTCCTCATCCAGAGTTCAACAGGGAACCCATCCAGCAGCAGCAGTAGCGAGGATGATGACGTGAGCGCCGATGAAAAAGAAGGTTACATCTGCGCAGTGTGTTTGGATGTGTACTTCAGTCCTTACATGTGTCAACCCTGCGACCACATCTTCTGTGAACCCTGTCTGAGGACGCTGGCTAAGAACTGCCCCACCAACACCCCCTGCCCCCTCTGCAGAACAATCATCACTCATGTCTTCTTCCAGAAGGGTGAGCTAATGGGCAGAAAGCACTTGCTGTACAATTCACATGATTGAAAAAAAACTCATCACCTCTACTTATGACTCTGCTCAGAAGTCTAGATTGAATAATGTGAGATGGATGGTTTGAAATATGCCAGTAAAATGTGTAGTTTAGAATTTAGTAATCCGTGGCTGCATTATAGAACAGTTAATATATATGCATACATGTATATTTGCAGCTCTATGTGTATTTGTATGTCTGTTGGCTGTTGTACTGATGACATCTAAGCTGCAGATTGTTCAGAAGGCCCAGCTGCAGATACCCCACAGGGAGCAGTGTAGACCTTTAGTTCAGCTCTGACCAGATGAGTCACCCAGAGAACGAGAAGAACAAAATCAAACACGTTCGGAACACTGTCATTTAGAGCTTTCCAATGGAAATAAGAAATAAAATTCTGTGTAAGTGAATAATGCATTGGGCTATGACAAAAGAAGATGTGTAAAATGAAACCCCCAATCATAAACCTTGTGATCACTGCATGCTGATCACATGGGACATAGTGGTGAAGTTCTGTGATTCACTTTGGCCTACTTCTAGATGTATGTAGGAGAAAATGAGGACACTGGGACACTGTTGTGGCCATAACAAGACAGAGTGGCCGTGGTTATGAGCGCTGCAGACAGACTAAGGGCTCTTGTGAGTGATTAGATGACAAGGATGGTAGATTAGATCCTTGTGATGATTACCAAACCCAAGGTGACACAGAAACGGAACAAGGAGAAAATGAGGGAGTCTGCATCTGCTGCTTTTTAGAATGTATCCAATAAATCAAACATAATCCATCCAGGTTATCATGAAGGGGCGGTGTGAATAAGATGTTTATGTTTGATCATATTGACTTGGTCTCTTGGTCTTTCTTACAGAGCTAAACCAAACGGCAAGGACATTCTTCCCAAAAGAATACCTTTCCCGGAAACAGAACTTCCAGAAAGCAAGTTGCGCAAAGTGGCCTCTCCCAAGCTGCCGAAAACTCTTCCGTATCTTTGGAGGCAAGTTTTTAATTACCCTACATAGAAATTCTCTCAGTTCAGGATCAATTGATCAGATTTGGCAAAGTATCAGCAGCAGTAGGACTCGTTTATAACTTAACTGCTGTTCTCTATGTACAATTGCAAGTCTTGACAAGACCTGTGACATAGTAAAGTAAACCTGCTACACAATCATCCTAAAAGTACCTGAAGGCGTCAATGGTACAAACACAACACTTAAACTTTATAGCAGACAGAATGCAAATTTAAGGGGCTGACTTTCCCACACACGCAGGCAATTTCTTATTATACAAAGAATGTTTGGAGAAGAGCTTGAGGGGAAGCAGCATTGCACCATTCCCAAGAGTTATTTGCTTATGTGCAATTACTGATATTGCATAATTGCTAGTAATATAAATACATATAAAAGTATTTAATGTGGAGTCAGCAGTTCAAGAGAAAGACTGCTGGTATTTCAACTCAAACAAATAATAATAAAACAGATTCACCGTCCCTCTCGCTCCCACTACCTTTCTATTTATACATCCATAGCCTTTCTCCTGTCCTGTGCACGAGCATGCATGTTGATTGGCTGGAATGGTGGTGTGTGGCCCGATTTCAGCCAGGGCTGTATAAACACCGGGGTTTTCAGCCCTGTATGAAGCAAATATGACTTAAATACACAAAGGTTGTTTGGTATAAACTGAGCATATCTAAGATACAGAATAACCCACCCATCTAAGAAATGTTTGACTATTTACCCACCAAACTTGATTTTTTTTTGTCTGAAGACAGTCAGATTTTAAAATATGAAAAGCAGAATCACCCTTAAAACCCCAATTTGTTTGTAATCTTAGAAAGTACATTTCATTGAATTCCCCTAATTTCCCTCAATCATTTCTACGTTCTTGATATTTTGATGCATTTTTCCAAAATGAAAACTTGTCACCATTAGAATCTATTGGAAATGGCGTGGATTCAAGTAAGGAAGAAAACTGTTTAAATATTAGATTTTTTTGGGTGGAGTATCACTACCATCAGATGAGATGCCCCATTTGTCACCCAAAAGCAGGCTTCCAGAGGCAGTCCAGTCCCATTGCTAGACGCCAGTTCCCCCACGGAGGAGGCTACCGGCTGGACGATCTGGACTTTGAGGATGTCTCTCGAGGCTGGCATTTTGACATGGACATGGTCATCATCTACATCTACTCAGTCAACTGGGTTATTGGCTTCTTCATTTTCTGCTTCCTTTGCTACCTCTTCTTCCCTTCTTTTTGACAGTCATGGCAACTATGAGTGAATTTTAAGCAGGTGGGATGACGAGGTAGAGGGAAATTACAAGAGTGTACCAGCTTGTTGTCTCGTGTTAATAAATGATTGAAATAGGGAAATATTGTCGGGGGAAGTTTTGGGAATCAATTGCTCTCTGTCTCCACATGTTGCACATGAATTGTGGGTTGAACAACACTTCCTGTTCCTGTATGGAGGGGGGTTAATACATGTATAACATCTCCTATAGGTTGTAGTGATTTACTTCCAAAATAAGTACATAAAGTCTGTTAATGCTTAACATGTTGATTAACACCACAGTCAACTGGATTACTACCAGTCTGGTTGCTTTCAATGACATATGCTACAGATTTCATCATAATGTCCTAAAATTTCCCCAAAATGTCTAATTTAAAAAGATCTGATGGACTGTGGAACGAATTTGCATTACATGTTTTCATTGGGAAATACAAGCATGAGCAGCTCCTCTGGTAATGATTGAGTTATTTTAGTGCTTCTATATACTTTTTCCCAAAACCCAGAACACAACATTTCAGTACTACCACAGGTATTTCATATTTAGTCTAACATAGTCTAATATAGATGATGATAATAATAACTAAAATACATTAGAAACTGAAAAGAATATAACGTAAGTGAGCACTTTTTGGATGGATTTTCATGTTTATGCATCCTCACAAAACTTAATTAAATGAAAGATTTGCTCTTTGGTATGGGTTGAAACCACATGTTTATGGTTTTATGAACCTCTTTGTTCCAATTTACCACCATATACCATATCCTTGCAAAACAATTTAATTGGCACTTTTGTTATACTATACAGTATGTCTTGCTAGATGATTTTAATTTGCTTGGACTTTGTGTTTTTATTCTTTTGTTCCTAAGCACCCCCTTGAGGGAAGGATGTTTGACTAAGTCACTGTATTTTATAGCCAATAAAGTTTACACAGTAACACCTACATCTTTGATTTTAAGTGATTTTCAATTTGGTAATGAAACCATGTGTTTAAGCCAAATAAATGACTTTATACTCGACACATTTAATGTTATTAAATTGAGACACCAAATACTGTATATGTTTGAGCTTTTCCAAAGACCTTCACTTTTAGTTTCCACTTGTATCAGTATAAAGTGGTGTGCTTCGCTCAGTGCACAAACTGTTCTCAGTTCGATATAACTTTAAAAAAACAATCAAGTGGTCTGGCGGGTTGCCAGTTTGAAAGTGAGACAAGTCTAACTAGCACTTAGGACAGAATGCTATACCTCTGTGGTTAGTGGCTAGTACAGTATTGCTAGTGCAGGAAGCAACGTTTCTATGATGAGAAGAAACGTTGCTTATAGCCCCAGCGAAAACATGGAGAAAGACTTTCAGTGGGCAACTCAGGAAGGCATAGCGTTTAATATTGACTGGCAAAGTTATAATGACTCCATTTATTAAAATGGTACACACGTTTTGGAGTAAAAGCCATTTAAGAAGAATTGATTGACTTGTCATCGCTCAGAAACCATGGAGATGGGTTAGGGTGCTATCTCTTCTAAAAGATCCAAATCCAACTCAAACACATGATCACTGCATAATCTTTAACATTTTAATAGACATAAAATTGCACTGTACATTTCCTATGTCGCTCCCCGCTGTATGTGTCTTTCTGTGTTTGTGTGAGTGGAGCTGTGTGTGTCCGTGGGTGTATGTCACTTACATAGATGGATTTTGAAAGTCTTCCTCTGCATTCATAATTAAATAGTAATGCAGGTTTAGAAAGAGCACTCACCATACACTAAAATGGACTCTTAATTTATTCAGAATATCTACACTTTCCTCTTTGTGGTTGTGAAAAGCATGCAAGGGCAAATAGCCACCGCTGAATGCTGGATCCAAGCACGTTTATAGTAGCAAACCAAGAATAGGAATCTTGAAAGAGTATGTTTTTTGTGCTGTAACCAAAGGCAATGAACTATTGATAAATTATACATGTATATATTCATATACACTGTAGCCTGTTTTGTTTCTTTGATGCCACCATTCTCCATTTGTGTGTGTGCATGAAAGAAGCATACTTCCAATTTACATAATACTTTTTGTGGTTATGTATTTGTCAGCCTGACATGGATTGCAAGTATAGACTTTCATTGGTATTGGGAGGGGGGGATTGTGGGCTACCAAGCAACATAGGAGGTCTATTCCAAATATATAATAAAACCCAAATATTAACTAATTCAAAATATACTTATGTCGCTTTGAACTCTAATAAAGTAACACTACACCACCCTGTGTGTCAATAAGCATATTATATTGCTGTAGAGAAGAGACATATATTTAAAAAGAAAATACAATAAAACACACTTTTCGTCCCAAAACAATGGCCCTGCATATCACAAATATGCCACAGATGTGTATTTCAACCGTCGTGTTCAGTGCTAAAGTTTAAATTGACCCACATTTAGTTTCCACTGGTGTATCGAATTATCCTCATTCATTCCTTTTGACTTATGTTCTATTTGGAGGCAAAGTGGCCAGCAGTCTGATGTTCACACGGTTAGGAGCTAATACAGCTCAGGGCGGGGGTTTCACCTGACGGGCCCAATTAGTATTCCCGTCCCTTTGGGTGCGCAGTGTTGCCAGCCACAGAGCCACGTCAGGCCTGTAGCAACTGTTCGTCTTCTAACTGCCTCTCCAAGGTTAGAGATAGGGCCGCCCGACCAGCTGGAAACACTCGAAGGGAACCGACCCTGGGAGCGGATTGAGACCCGCCATAGCAGGGATTAAGTTTTTTCTTCTTTGTAACGTTCAGATTTTCTCCGACACAGAGGCTTAACGTGTCGCCTGTGCGATGTGAAATCCTCAGCGGCGTTGCGTCTCTATAAGGAGGTTGTGCAGCTAAGAAAAAGATCGTTATCGCCCTGTTTTTATCGCTGTTTAATGGAAACGCGCAATCATAAAAAATGGTTGCATTTGGAGAATATCCGTGAACGCGATCGTCTCCTTCCGACATCGGCGCGTCAGAGAAGACACCTCAGCTAGCTGGACTCCGGGTTGGGTGTGAAGTCTTCACTGTGTGCACCGCGCGCTGCTGGATTGAAGGTGACTCGCGCCCCGTCGCAGTCGAGGCAATGCGGAGAGGAGTCGCAGGCGCTCATCCGGTACTTTTTCTGCACTCTAAGGCTCGTCTGAGAACATATTTGCTCCGTCTCCCACATTAGAGGGGGAGGAACGTGAGAGACGGACAGAGCAAAGACAATAATCGGGGTTTCAACCCAGCCAGTAGTTAGCTGAGGTGAATTGGCGGAGGAGAGGAAAAAGGTGAACAGTAAGGTGCAGGGTGGTGAGGTAGGAAGAGAGAAAGTGGTGGAGTTTGGTTGGGAAAATAAGACAGAACCGTTCTGTGTTAGGGCTGTTTTATTAGTGGATGTGTATGCATGAGTTCTGCATCGAATGGGCGCAAAAACCGCCCCAGATCCGCCGGGAACATCTTCCAGATCGGCAAACCTCCGCACCGAGACCTACAGAGGAGGGAGAGCACCGAAAGTACCCGCAAAGCCCAGCGCGCCGTGGCCGACTGCAGAATGGTAGGTTTGCGACACGACGATGCCTGCATGGTGCCTCTCATTAGGACGTTATTAGCGGAACCTTCCTTTGTTCTATAGGACGATCGACTGTCCCGTGCATGCAGGATGCACAGGCGACAGCTGTTAATAGCTGCAAAAAAAAAAGAGTGTAACCCGGTCTGGGAGCCTAAAAATAGATATAAGCATTTGCATTGCTTTTGTCGTCAGCGAAGGCAAACAGATCATCTCGGCGTGCAGAGTGATTGTGATTTGCTTTTGGAGTGTTGGTGATTTGGCCTGATTTCAAAATTGCCCCAATCACAAGATTATCGAGATGTTCGTGATCATGGCACATGTTTTGACAGATGTCGATCATATGTCAACCCTTTCATACATCAGATTTCGCCATGCAGCCTCGCTGAGTGCAGAAGGATGTTATGCAGGAGTTGCACAAAATGAACCAAATATTTGTACACCAACCCCAAGCTCTTCAGTTGTGCAAATTTAACATAATGGTACCTCCGTCAATAAAAGAAAAATCAGGGTTTTTTTCAACATCCACTTTGACTTTGCGGACTATTTTAATGTCAATGCTTCACTTTTTTGCTCAGTCACAAGTTACTCTAAGATATCAATGCACTTTTGTGACCACATATGTGCAAGTTTGCAATTTCTTTCTGAAATACTACCTCTTATTTGTCGTCCGTGTGGGGAGAAAAAGAATAGTGAGTCTGTGTGTAGTACTGCTCAGCATTTCTTCTTGTCTGACACGTTTGCATGTTGACAAGTCAACATGCAGGGATGAATGACATTCTACTGCAATGACCACAACAGGAAGCCATGAGAAAGCAAAAGTTGTTTGCTATATGTGTGCGGTGCTTACTTGACTAAGTCATCTGGGGAATAACTTATGTTTTTGTGTGATTTCATCATCTCTTTGTAACACAGATCGTCCAAGAATTTAATACGCTTGTGGCTCTGTACCGTGAACTGGTCATCTCCATTGGCGAAATTACTGTGGACTGTCCTTCTTTACGGGCCGAAATGCTGAAGACCCGAACTAAAGGCTGCGAAATGGCGAGAGCGGCGCACCACAGTCTGTCCTTGATATCGGGGTGAGTTGGCACCGACACTGTCCATGGTGCTGAAAATAAGTACCTCGTAAAGAGCTGTCCATGGTCCTGATAGTGCGTCAAATGGGGCGCTCTGCAACATTGCTGCGCCTAAAGTTGTTAAGTAATATATATATATATATTTTTTTTTTTTATATACATCTCTGATTTGCATAAGCATCCCCGTTTTAGGCACATGTATATTTAAGCCCGCTCCTCAACACTTCAAAGATATCATCCATGTGTCTGCCTTATTAGTGTTATGGGGGGAAATGTGTTCAACTGAAAAAAAAGCATGATGTCTCTAATTGCTAGTGGGACAGCTTTACCAGGAATCAATCACAACAACATGCGGTAACTGACCGCTTCCCATTAGCTGGGGCCTAAAACGATAATGCACGAAGTGAAACGCTTCCCAGGATGAATATCTGAGATAATAGTATCAATAATGTGAAGCCAATGACTTTTGCATTGCTTTTGCTTTAAATGTATTGTGAGTGTTTGTGTGTGTGTGTGTGTGTGTGTGG